AGTGGAGCTGCCTAGCTAAATGGTTCGAGCCTATTTTCACGGTTTTATCCCAATAGCACGTCCTTCTTTTTGGATACACATGCAAATTGCACAATTCATAATGGATCAGTCTGGGACAAATAAAAAGAATATAATTCCTATATAAAGTTTATTCAAATTTGAACGGTTTCGAATTGTTTTGTTTATTTTCTTTTTGCATGGACATTTTGAATTCATACTTTAAAATTGTTCATTTGCCACGGGCACAGTAATAGTTTAATATGAGATGTAATTTTGTTGGGCTTAGTGATTTTGGGCCTCTGACTGCTTTTTTCTTTCTCCTAATTCAGGAAGGGCGAATTGCTGCCGATACTAAAATCGGGAGATTCATATATGATGCTGTAGCATCCCTCCCCAAACTGCCACCCCACATTTTTGATAAGCTTGTGAATGATAGCCTGCAGGTATATAATATAAAACTCGTTCTTCTGTTCCATACGAAGCTCTAAGCTTATCGTCTAATTACTTTTAAGCAAGCACTTTCAGTTTTTTTGAATTGATTGAACCTTGGGAAATAGCATGTAAACAGAAAGTGGAAAGTATTTGAGTTTGAATATTCATACGTTTGAAACAGAACACGAACGGATGAAAGCAAAGGTCCAAAACTATAGAAAAACAGCCCTATTAGGCAAACCATGGGTTTTCATTAAGACCACAACTTATAGATTAATTGGTTTTCATCTTTTCATGTTTGTTGGGAAATATTGCGTGCTGAATATTTGTGTGCTTGCAGGACCAGCTGTTGTTACTATATTTGTCGAGCATAACAAGAACACAACTCAGCCTAGCGGAAAAGCTCAACACGGCTGCCCAGATCCTTTAAAGGTTGCAATATCTTGCTGAGCTTGTGGTTTGGTCTATTTGTTTTCTGTTCACATATTACTGATTTTCTATTAGTAGCGGCTTGTTTGTACGATTTAGTATAATTCTACATGAGAAATGTCGAATAGCGGTACTTTGTTCAGTGGTTTTGCCAATGCATGCTAGTCTCTTGGAACTTTTTTCAGACTGATTAGTATATGTGATATGAATAGTGATAATAGTTAGTTGAACTTAATAGTTAAAGAAGTGATATTTTTCAATATATATGCATAGTTTTAAATTAAAATGTCATTTTAAGTATCATAAGTGAAAGTATGACATATCACAACTTGTGTTTTATATCACTTGCTTTGAATTCAACAAAACACAATTGTTCATAGCATATATTATTATGCAAATTTCTCTCGGTTTTGAATTAGAGACGCCGAGTCGACATTCATTTAGTTTTTAACTATGTTCTAACAAGAAAAATACTATATATTCTACATTAAAATAAAATATAAAAACACCCCACTCCATTCATATATGATAGAACTCGACCCCGAATTGCTTTTTTCTAAAAAGACGTCCTAAATTTATTATCAATACAATCATAAGTGAGCTAAGTTTATTACCAATGCAATTTATTTTATTTCTCAACCCGAAATCAGACCCGAATCCAGGTTTCCTAAGACCATCTACAATGCAGCGCTTGCAAATGCACTCCACAACATTGCGCTAGGATAGAGATTGCTACTCTAGCAATGCTAGATTTTCTTTTAATGTATTTTAATGTAATATTAATGATAAATTCTTGTATAATGTGTATTAATAAATATATTTCTATGGTAAATAACTTTATGTAATGTATTTTTTATGCTAAATAATTTTGTGATTTTTATTTATTGATGTAATTTTTATACCAATTTATTTGAAATAAAAATAAATAAAATATATTTTTATTATTTAGGTAATAAACATTGATATAAGATTATATATATATATATATATACCAATTTATTTGAAATAAAAATTAATAACAAAATAATCCAAAGCACAAATATAATACGTTCTCACTATTTTTTCGTGTGCGTGTGTGTGTTCTTCTTTTTAGTGTTGTCTCAAAAATGGGATATTAGTTCACATTAAAACCTGCTCATAAAACTAAGTGGTGAACCTGACAACTCTTAGTGGAGACAACAAAGAACCCGACGGAAATTAAGGGCCTCCTAGATTTCACACCCCATTATAATATATATTCATTTAGATATTAATTGAAATATATTTTTTACATTATGTAACCATACTATTCCAACAAATATACATCAAATGTCATAATTTTAAATATATTAAAGTGTAACATTTCCTGATATAAGTTGAGATTTTTTTAAATTATAAATTAAGCAACTTAACAATAACATTTGGATAATGATAAATAAGTTGCCAAAATTCACTTCTGAACTCTACAAACTAAAACACATTCAGTACTCTAAGCTCACTGAATAATAATAACACTTATAATAATAGTAAAACTTTTGTTTCGTTCTAAGTAGGACTGGAATTATTTAAGTAGCTCTCCTAACTAGATGATCAAGGGGCA